TTTAAAGATTTTATTTATTTATTTGACAGAGAGAGACACAGCGAGAGAGGGAACACAAGCAGGGGGAGTGGGAGAGGGAGAAGCAGGCCTCCCGCAGAGCAGGGAGCCCGATGTGGGCTCAATCCCAGGACTCTGGGATCATGACCTGAGCCGAAGGCAGACACTTAACGACTGAGCCACCCAGACGCCCCAGCAGAAGTTTATTTCTCACACTTCTAAAGTCTGGAGGTCCAAGATCAGGGTGCCAGAGTGGTCAGGTTCTGGGTAGGGCTCTCTTCCAGTTTGCAGACGACTGACATCTCTCTGTGTCCTCACATGATGGAAGGGGGGTGGAATTTCTGGGGTTTCTTTTATAAAATACTAATCCCCATCTTAAGGCCTCCACCCTCCTAGGTACCTAAGCACCTCCTGAAGACCCTGCTTCCTAATACCATCATATTGGGCATTAGGATTTCAACATGAGTTTTGGGGGAACACAGTCAAAGCACAACAATCAGGGAAGAGATTTTCAAGTGATCTTTGTGGGTAGAATGTAAGATCACTCAGCATCCAGAGAGAATGTGCTGGATAGGATGGAAGGAACGCACTTGGGTAGGACTGCAGGGTTTTAGACCATCAGGATAAATTCAGGTGTGTGGTCTCTCTAGGTTGGGTTTCTGGCTACTTCCAAACCTCTGCCTCATTTTCAGTTTCATATTTCCTACTGCATGCTATGTACATCTTTCCTGGGCTCCCATAGACCTCACAGCTTCACAATATCCTTAACTAACAAAACCTGCTTCTCTTTCTGTTTTCTTTATTTCTTCAATCAGTGGCAACAGCAATCATCTCATTGTCCAAGAGAAAACTTGGGAGTTATTCTAGACTCCCATCCCTCTCTCTAGTGCCCTGTCCTCTCTTTCTGTCCCCAGCTGCCATCCATTTTACTCCTTAATATATTCAGGATCAGTGCCATCCTCTTTAAAATGCCCTGCTGTAGTTTCTACCTTCACCATTTTTCATTTGGATTGCTCCAATAGTCTCTTAACTGTCTCTCCTACCCCATCTCACCCCCTCCAGTACATCTTCCTCAATGCCTCCAGGGTGAACTTTCCAAAGTCTTTCAGTGGTCTCAACTCTTTGGCATGAAGCCCTCTCTGACCTGCCCTTTTCTCCCTCTCCAGCTCCTCAGTTGCACCCTGGACACCCCCACCATCATGCTGCACTGCTCTCTGTCCCCTTTCGTGGTTGGCTCCTCAAGCCACAGAACCTTTGCACTTACATCTGCCTGGAAATCCCTTCTGTAATTCAGATTAAGCTCACCACTGGGGAGACCTTCTTTGACACTTCAGACTGATTTATGCGTCTCCCTTGAGTTTTCCTCTCCGTCGTCCCGGGCAAAGTGCAGCTTTATAATTTTTTTCTGTCTCCCTCATACGATAGTGAGTGCTGAGTCCAGGGTTAAATGTAAGGTGATGGCAGCACTCCACATCTCGCGAGCTCGTGGCAGAGGGTCAAGCAGTAGTGCCCAGTGCCCCGCCTCTGCGTGGAGCCTGGGACCCGAGCTAGCGGCAGTGGGAGCCTCTGATGAGCAGTCCTACAGCGCTCTTTGAGCATTGTCCCCAGATGCATAGCCAACTCTCTGGCTTTCCCGGAGATTCTGTGAACTGCATAATATCTTTGAACACATCTTTTTTTTTTTTTTTTTCATTAAACCAATTAGATTGGCTTCTGTGGTCAGCAGCCAGTCACCTCACTCCTGCTATTCCCAGGCTCTGTCACATGGAGTCACTATGGAGAAACTGGCTCTTCACTCTTCAGGCCCTGATCCTGGTCCACTCCGCTGTGAAGCCTCCAGGTCCCAGGTCACCGTGCAGACTGGCTTGGTCCTTCCAGTAGCCACGATGCTACTTCTCCCAGCTTGCAGCCCTTAGTACTCATATCCGGGCGTCTTCGGAGATGCTACATGCTCCAGGTTTGCTGGGCCAGGACATGGTGGAGGTTTTAAAACATGCCACAGATATTTTGACACCCCTCCCATCAAGAGATGGATTATATTTCCTCCCTTCAACCTGATCAGGTCTTGTGATGGAAGCAAAGCTAAATGACTTCCAAGGCTGGGTTTATAAAGGCTGTTCTAGTTTGCGGGCTCTCCTGGGACACTTGTCAGCTGTTATGTAAGAAGTCTAGTGCCCCTGAGTCCTCATGTTGAGAGCCCAAGTGGAGAAGACCACATAGAGAGAGATGCCTGAGAAGCCCCACTGTTTGGGTTCTCCCAGCCCAAGCACCAGACGCATGAGTGAAGAAGCCTTCCAGATGATCCTTGCCCCAGCCCTCCCTGTCTGACAGTAACTACACTAGAGGATGGAAGAAATGGCCAGCTGAGCCCCAGTCAATCCCCAGAGCAAAATAATAAACAACTGCTATTTAAATAAATATGTGGGGATTCTTTCTTATACAGCCGTAGATAACCAAATACTCTCCTGCATTCAATGACAAAAAGCATTAAAAATCTGGGCAGCATGGGAGGGGAGGAGGAGTTAGTGTGTAATGGGCACAGATTTTCAGTTTGGGAAGATGAAAATTTCTGGAGATGGTATGGTTGCACAAGCGGAACGTACTTAATGCCCCTGAACTGTACACTTCAAAATGGTTAAAGCAGTAAAAAAAAAAAATTGTATGTATACGTTACCAAAATTTTTAAAAAGGAAAAAAATAAATCTGGGCAGTAAGCAACTTTGGAATATACATAGAAATGGGCATTTGTCTTATTAAAACAATTGGGCTTTATCCAGGACTGAATCACAGGTACTGAAGGTAATACTTATGTGAAAAATATACTTCAGTCTTCAGGATGATGATAGCTGCATTTTAAATCATCATGATAAAAGCAGCTAATGTTTATTCACTGAGCACCTCCTCTGAACCAAGTGCTAGGGATGCAGACAGAAGGAAGACAGTCTCTCTTCTCTTGTGTCTTACAGTATAGAAAGCAGAGAGCAGTAGTGCATGTGTGAGCATTGTGGGTAAGAAGTAGACAAACCAGGGTCACGTGGTAGAAAGAGATTGGTGCCTAATGTACACTGGGCCCACAGGAGAGCCTTGAGTAAATGCCATTTACTAAAAAGGGAGGAACTAGATAAAGAAGAGGCCATTTTGGGTTGGCTATGTTTCTTTTCTTTCTTTTTTTTTTTTTTTAAAGATTTTACTTATTTGACAGAGAGAGACACAGTGAGAGAGGGAACACAAGCAGAGGGAGTGGGTGAGGGAGAAGCAGGCTTCCCACCAAGCAGGGAGCCCGATGCGGGACTCGATCCCAGGACCCTGGGATCATGACCTGAGCTGAAGGCAGACACTTAACAACTGAGCCACCCAGGCGCCCCTGTTGGCTATGTTTCTTTTGAAATGCTATTAGATGTCCAGATGGAGATGTTAAGTGCTCAGTGAAATACTAGTCTGGGATTTAGGAAGATCAGGGCTGGAGATTTGGGTTTGTGGGTCATTGGACTGTGGGTGGGATTTAGTAAGATCACTAGGAAAGGCACAAAGTGAAAGAAGTGACCAGAAGGAAGAGACTGGGAAGGAGGTGGAGACCAGCCAGGGAGGCAGGGGGCCCAGGCGGAGAGTGTGATGTCCTGAGGGGCCGACTGGGTCTACTGCAGCTGGGGCAGGGGGAGAAGAGAGTAGCTAAGTGACTGTGGGTTTGACACCAGGAGGTCAGTGGTTGTGTGGCAGTATCTGTGGAGAGGTTTAAAGAGAGGGTCAAGGAGGACTTGTGAAATGGGAACTAAAGACAAATCTTTCAAGAGAACTTTTAATACTTTAAGAAGCAGAGAAATGGGACAAGAGGTGTGAGGTCAGTTATTTTCCTGTGACAGATACTATGCAAGCATTTCATTTAGTATGTGGTTTCATTTTTTCAAAATTCTAGTTTCCATTTTAAAGGTAGAAAATGAGACACAAAGAAGATAATAAATTGCCCAGGGCCAAGTAATTAGTAGATGGTAGAATTGGGGTTTGAATGCAGGCTTATGTGAATCCAGTGTCATTCAACTAGCAAAGCCTTTGGTACAGTCAATATATCCTTCCTGTATAAAGAGATAACTTAATCACATTTTCTAATAAATAAAGTATGTATGCCCGACTAAAATATTTCTTCGATAATTATACAGCAAAGTTCCAATATGGAAGAAGCTTTGTAGAGACCTTTAAAAATATCCAATAAAATGTGCTTTATTATTTTTTTCCTAGAGAAGTACTAATTATGCAGTATCATTTCAACTAAAATCCAACTCCCAAGAGAAAAAGAGCAGAAGAGAGAGATCACAATTTTATACATTGTACTGAGAAATAAGAGACCTTCCCACATAATGGCTAATCCAGTCAAAATAATTGGCCACTTTTGTGTAAACACCTGGGTACTCTGGTCTTCCGCAGTTTTCACCCCAACTCACAACACCCCAAACATAAGTCACATTGTTGACATCCTTACAGACTAAGGGGCCTCCGGAGTCCCCTTTACAGGCGTCGATGGAACCATCATCTGTACCTGAAAAAGACAAAGGAAAAAGAAAATCACACACGTACTTCCATTTGTCGAGGCTGCCAAGCCGACTTCCTGTCTCCTCCGTCAATGTGTGTACCAACTTTGGCTTTCTTACACTTTGCTAACGGGGAATAACGCGTACTCTCCCTCACACCCCTCTGGGCCCATAGAGGTGGTGAGATGCAGGTTGGGAAACACTTTGTCTTCTGCTTATTCTCCATATTTAGTGAGGGCTTCCCGTGCTTCCTCTGTTTTATGCAAGTGTATACTCTGATGAGATTGCAATCTGAAAGTAGCATCCAATACTCAGTGGGGAAATAACAGAAATACTTCGTGCTTATTGAGTGCTTAATATGCATTAGACAGTCATTGTTTTGATCCTAAACCACACCCCTAATGAGATAAGTATCATTATTATCCTTATTTTCAGATGAGACAAGTAAGGCCCAGGGAGGTTAACTAATTTGTCCAAGGCCATACAGCTACTAAGTGGCAGGCTGGACTTGAATTCAGGCAGGCAGAACCCTTCGAGCTTTCCCTCTTAACTGTGATAATTGCCTCCTGGTAGGTTTTGTGCTAGTCTCCCCTTTTGTCCTCTGTCATCCTGAACTCCATTTAAGAAGGGAGGGCACAGGGAATTGTCTGTTTACTTTCTTCTCACTCTTAGGACTTTCTAAGGTTTTTTTAAATCACTGATCCCAAAAGTTATAGGATGTCAATTACTTTGCTTTTTCTGGAATACACTATTTAGAAGTGGTTTTAATAAAGCATCCTAAATGCATTACCCTGGCTGGTTCCCTGCCTTTGCATCACCACCAAAAGTAGGAACTGAGTTGTAGCTGTGTAACTCTTGTTAGCGATGTGGGAAACAAAGGCAAAAGAAATGTAGCTTAAATTAAAGTCTCCTTACAGTTTGCCACCCACTGATAGATAACCTGAAACATGAAGACGGTGACCTTCCTCAAGGAAAGTGTGGCCACCTCAGTGCCTTAATGTTTAAAGGTAACTTCATCTTGGCAGGAGCGGCCCCTCAAGGTCCTGAAAGCCTTGCTTCCAGATTCCTTGGAGACTGGTGCTATCCCTCACCCCCACTAATTAAAAAGTAAATAATCAGTCATTCCTCACAATCCCAGTACAGCTCTTTCTGCCCACGGGTTCTGTCCCATGAATAGGGAAGGGGTTAAGTTCTAGGCAGGAGAGATAGGAGGCCCCTGACTCCCCTGACTCAGCTCTGGAACTATTCCGGGTAGGTGGAGGTGCTGAGACAGAGCGAAACAAGAGATAAAGCAACAAACCAAGACACAAAAATCTCAAGGCCACAAGCTTCCCAGTCAGTTCTCAATTAAAGACCGCCACTAAAAGCTCTCCGTGGCAACCCATTTGGGACCCCTCTCACTCTAGAGAGCTTCTTCTTTCCTTTCTGCTCTCACCTTCACTTAACTTTCACTTCACTTTACCCTTTTGTGTCCGCGAGATCCCTTCCTCCTTTCTGTGAGACAAGAACCCTGCAAGCTTGCAACATTGGGTAGGGGCACTAGGGCCACTCTGATAGTAAAGGAGGTGGTGGCAGGGTCATCAAAAGTGCCATGGAATTGCTGGGGAGGGAGGATTTACTTCCAAGCGGACACATCTGAAATGAGATCATTCAGATTTTATTCAGAAAAAGGTTGGGTTTTGATCCTGGATCTGCCACTTCTTATAAGACTTTGGGCAAATTATGTAACTGCTCTGCATCTCAGTTTCCTCATTTATGAAGATCCCCAATTTTGCAGATGGGGAAGCCTGCTCAAGGCCATGTGAGTCGTAACTGGTAAAAATCGGGATATAAGCCCAGGCAGCCTGGTTCCAGAGTCTGTGCTTTTAGGCACCTTTCTATAAGGTGGCGGTGGCGTAAGGAAGATTCTTCCTCTTCCTGTTAGCATAAGGGATTGAGTGAAGGGCTAGGGAAGCCCCAGCCAGGAGGCCCGATGAAAGGGCCCAGGGTCCAGAGCAAGGAGGCAGATTTGGTGAGGAGGGGAGATGTTTGGTAGGGGGTATAGGTATAGATCTTAGGGAAACCACTCTGTGCTTACCTGCACAGTCCATTTCTTTTTCAAAATAGCGACCCGGATAAAACCTGGAGCAGTTGCTGATTAGGCTAACTTCACCCCACTTAAGTAAACTGACTTTTTGGTTATCTAGCAAAGGGAGAGAACAGACATTTAGAAGTCACCAATGAGAAATCTAAATAAATACTCTCATCATTTAGTAAACCATGAGGCCTAGAGAAGATTATATATATTCCTTAACACATATATCAACTTTTGAGGAGAGTTCATTAACATATTTAATCACACACTGCTCCTATGTCCAGTTTCTCCAACTGTCTTTCTAAAAATAGTTAAGGGGCAAATAAATAGACTCTTTAAAAACAAAAAGTTAAGGGGCATTCCTGAACACATGCCTGAAGTCATTCCCATTATCACAAAGACCTGGATGCTCTGAGCTGAACAAGATAAACTCCGTCCCCTTTGATTGCTGAGTCCAGCGTGGGAGCTGGGTAGGAGTCAGTGATCAGCATTTTCTCACATGAATAGCTCCTATCATCTTACATCCCGGATTTCCTGGAAAGTGCTGGTTAGAGTGAAAACGGCCTTCTAATATAAGAAGTTAAATGGAGAAAATGTATATGAAGTTATCAGTGTGTATGTTTTTGTGTGTCTGAAGAAGTTCATTTCCTAAGTGATTTGAAAGAGGATTTAGGATTTCCTTTTCATCTGAGTTAGAGATGTGGGGCTTGAACGTTTTTCATCTAAGGAGAGAGAAGGGGCAGATACTGTTGCTGATCGACAGTCCAGGAAGATAAGAAAAACTTAAGAATATGGGGTGAGATG